GCGCATAGGTTTATCTTGAATGTTTGTCTGTGATTTGTGCATATCGAGATCCTCATATGTCCCAACACCCGGACAGTTGATGAGTGCGAGCAAGAGTTCACCCGTATGAGTGAGTTTGCTCCACATCTGGTGGACACAGCCTACAAGAAATCTACCAAGTTCTGGGAATTTGCCATACGAGGAGATGGTTATCCGTGCACGAAAAGTTGAGAGCTGCCAATCTCTTCATACCCCTGTTCCATCCTACCATAACACTCCCTTAAATCAGCCAGTAGCTACTATTCAGCCCGAATCTAGTTCGGGCAAGAGAAAGGCCGATTTTCGCTAAGACCATCGGGAGGGAAAACGTAGAGGAAATGACCGACGTGATGAGCGCCCTGCCAACCAGGACCAGAATCTAAGGTGTCCTAACTGTGGCCGTAACCATGCAGGACAGTATTGACACACTCAAAAGGTGTGCTTCAACTACCAGCACCCCGAGCATTTCCTTAATACATGCCCCGAACCCCGGAGACAACAGTCATATCAGTAGAAACAACTTTATCAACAATAATAGCAGTTCCCACCTCCACCTCAGCAGTAGCAGCAGCATCACGGACAACCCCCACCACCGAACCAGCAGAGGGTAGGAGGCCAAGCCCGCGTTTATGCTATCACCCATAATAAGGCCGCCTGCAATGCAGGTACCATGCCAGACATGATTTTCGTTTCCAATGTGCCTATCTTTGCCTTGTGTGATACTGGTGCTACGCATTCATTCATATCTTCCAATTTCTTGAACGCCCTAGAAATTAACTCCGTCAGTAAGGTCGACTCGCTCGAGGTTAGCCTAGCCTCGGGCAAGATGATCGCTACTGATTCAATGTTCCGTAATTGTAATACCCTATTCGATTGTGGATTATTTGGGAATGATTATTGATTATTGATATTATTAATTGTCTTTATTATTATTATTATTATTATTATTATTATTATTATTATTATTATTATTATTATTATTATTATTATTATTTTTAAATGTCAATTTGTTATTATTTGTTGTTATTAGTAATATTGCTATTATTAACAATAATTGTCTAAATGTTATATCATAATTAAATTAAATGTGCATTATATATATATATATATATATATATATATATATTCAGTTTTTATTTTCGGGCCAAACCGTTAATATCGTTAATTGCGGAACCGAGAGAACACCAGCAATTAGTCACGCTCGCGCTCCGTCAATGGCCCGAGACCCGCGCCCATGGCCGACCCATACCCAGTGCCCTTTTTCCTTTGTTTTGGGTTGATGATCAAGTAAGGAAAGTAGGCTTAGGGGATTCTTATCTTGCATATATATAAGATTGTTTACCCCTAAGCTCGTCTAATTATTTTCCCCGCAGCCACACTCTAATCTCATCTTCTCTCCCAATCTCTCTCCTCTCTCTCGCCCCTCCGATCACCATCATCTCACCACCATCGACCGTCGTGTCTCCTCCGCGATCAAGCCCTGCATCATCGCTGCACGTTTCGGTCGCGCCCCTCATCGCGATCTTCGTCCCCTCGAGCTCCCTAATCGCATCGCAAGCCCGCGTCCCTGTTTGCTACTCGCCTGTGGTCCGTGATAGTCCCCTTCTCGCGTATCGTTCATCCCCAGCGACCCCGTGTTCACGCGTGTGCAGTCCCAGGCCATCGCTGCACCTCGCCGTCGCCAGTGACCATCATCGCAGCGCCCCTGTTCGCGTGTTGCCGCTATGATGAAGACCGTGTGTCCTGATTTTCGACAAGTCGCTCCCACGCCTTAAATCGCATGGTAGGTGGAGGTTCACACACTCGCGCCCCTCGAAACGAATAAAATTGCAAGAGAAATCAAGAAGAAAAAGCAAAGTGTTTGAACAAAAGTTTGGATTTTTGTATTGATTTCTGAATGAATAAATTAACAAGAGGAAGGGCCTTTATATAGGCATCAAATAGATCTAATCCTAAACTAACTATAACTCTTATAAAGTAGTAAGATATTAAGTAACCTAAACAATCTAGATATCATAAAGAAATAAGGAAACTGAATATCTAAAGGATCCTAATGACTTGTCTTGCACTCCAAGTAGAAGACCAAGTTGCATCAATCGCCGCCATGGTCCCCTCGCGCGCGCCTTGCCTTAGTTCTCGAGGACTAGGGTCTAGCCGTTCGCCCGCGCGCATTTTCTGCCTTGGGTCCGTCCGGCGTGCGTCTCTCCTATACCTTGAAAGATCCTGCTCCAGCCCACATTGCCTAGTCCTAATCCGCCAAGGAGTTTGCTCGAGCGCGCGTCCACTTTGCGTAATCCTACTAGGAATATGCTCCCAGCTGCGTTGCCTATTCTTTCAAGGAATACTCCCGTCGCTGATCCTTCACGTGCGTACCGACACTCAGCTTCTTTTCCTTGTCCTGCAGGGTCTAGCATTTGCGCCTTCCCTATTCCTATGAGGATCAGGCTTGTCATGCCTCCCCCCGCGTATGCGCACGCGATTACCTTGCTCGCGTACAGGCACGCACCTGTCTGCCTAGCTTTTTTGGCCCTGTCGTGTTCGCCGAGTGCGTCCTTGGCCAGCGCACATGCCCGCTCTCTCTTGGCTATCTCTTTGACCGATTGGCGCCCGATCGTTGAGCGCTCCTAGGATCGGTCCACCGTGTGTCCGGGTCGCCTAGCCACATACTCCTCACGATGCTCGACCCAACTATCTTCATCCTGCTCATGACTTGATCTGCTCGACACCGTGAGTCTAGCCTCGACTCCTCCAACCTCGACCATGTGCGTCCTCAACTCTGCGAGTACCGTCCATCTGTTCGTCCTGCTGCCCTATCGACCTAGCGAATATCGGCCACGTGATAACCCTGTTCGAGTTCACGAGTGCCGTGTTGGAACCCATGAGGATCTCGATATGCACAAATCACGGACAAACATTCAACATA